TTATATTTCAGCACTGCAGCTTTTAAAAATGAAGGATTGGAATTATCATTTTTTTCTTTTCTTTTTTTTCTTTACTTTTGTCTGGTAATCTAATATGTTAGTCTTAAAATGGCTTTAACAGTTGAAGAGTTCAGATGCAAAAACTGCATAAATGCTATCTAAAATTTTTCACAAAAATTAGCTTTTTTATCAGGATCCTGTGTTTAGGTTCAATAACAGCACATTTATGGCAAAGAATAATTCCTTTTCCTTAAAGTGAAATAACTTATCATAAACACAGGAGACTTAAAAAAATTTCATTTTCGATGCAAATTTCAGACTGCACTTAGAAGTTTTTGCATCTGAACTCCTCAGTGGTTTTCTTGAGTCACTGGTTTACCAAAGTGTAGTTTTGTTTGTTTGTTTGTTTGTTTCTCTCTCTCTGTGTCTCTCTCTCTGTGTCTCTCTCTCTCTCCCTTTCTTTCTTTCTATCTTTCATGCTTTTTTTCGAGCGTTCTTTTGAGCTTTCTTCAAGATCAAATTTTCATTTAGAAAATCCCAAATATTACAGCAGCTGTGTTTTTTGGCTATTTAATTAAACTAGACGAAAAAGTTTAAAGGCAAACTTTGATGTTGGCTTGAGAGAGTCTAGCTTGAAAGTTTGAAGCAGTTTTGTAAATATTGTTGTCTACTACTGTAAGTGGTAACTATGCAGTTCCTAGTGTGTGGCTTTGGTACTTAAAGTGGTTGCTATCCAGTTGCAAGGGTGTTCTGAGTGGTTTCTAGCGTGTTTTTCAAAACAACATGAAAGTGCTTGACTGAAAAGCTCAGATACAGACAAGTGGCATGGCCAAGAATCGTTGGGTAGGGCTTGACAGTAATTTAATTTAATTTAATTTAATTTAATTTAATTTAATTTAATTTAATTTAATTTAATTTAATTTAATTTAATTTAATTTAATTTAATTTTATTTTATTTTATTTTATTTTATTTAAATTTTGTATAGTTTTTTAAACATACTGTGATGATGGCAGTTTATTTCAGGGGCATCATCAATCAGTGGTGCATTTCCGAAAACCATGTGCAGCTTTACCCACAGGTAGTTTCTGTTTGTCGTAAATGAAGATGTATTTATTCTTTTGCACAATGCTGTAAATAAATTAAAACTGCAAAAAGCATATAAAAATGAGAAACATACATTTTCTTGTACTCTTTTCTTGTACTCAGATACCTCACTAAATGCAGTGATGTCTAACTTTACTGTAGTTTCCAAATGGCTGTGCAAACAGTATATAGTGCTGTCTTGAGGATTTTCAGAAAGTGTCACCAAATCTGACTTTTTGCATTGGAAAAAAAGTAAATTGTCATAATGAAAACATGACAAAGCCATTTAACTATCCTGTTCATAAACAATGGTGTCAGACCTTTTCATCTTGATGACACTGACACTTTCATCGACATCAATACTTGCTTTTTATTTTATTTTATTTTATTTTATTTAAATTTTGTATAGTTTTTTAAACATACTGTGATGATGGCAGTTTATTTCAGGGGCATCATCAATCAGTGGTGCATTTCCGAAAACCATGGTTAGCCAACTAAAGTGTCGTTACAAACATAGTTTGTTGATATGGCGTTTCACAGATCTGTTGTTCCAACAAACATTCGCAAACTGCGTCGCAAACTTGTATGCTTGCAACTACACCTCTGGAGCTGTAGTTAGAAACATAGTTCCAGGCTGTGTGCTATTCCCAGTTATCTCCCCTATGCCCTATTCGTTTTAGCAATCGTCATGTTTACAGTTGGGCTAGTGCACTTTGATGTTTACAGTTGGGCTAGTGCACTTTGAAAACATTGATGTCATTTGGAACACACCCGTGTCTCATGACGACAGCTATTGACCTATTATTTAAAAGTGGAATTTACAGAAAATATCCAAAGCTTGTTAAAACCAAAAAAAAAAAAAAAAACAAAGTATATGTTAATTGGTTATATTTATAGTGGATTTATTAATAATATAATAATAATAAAAATCATAATAATAACAATCATCATCATCATTAATATTATTAATAATATTATTAAGGTGATGCAGTGGCGCAGTAGGTGCTGTTGCCTCACAGCAAGAAGGTCGCTGGTTTGAGCCTCGGCTGGGTCAGTTGGCGTTTCTGTGTGGAGATTGAGTTCACGTGGGTTTCTTACAGGTGCTCTGGTTTCCCCCACAGTCCAAAGACATGCGGAACAGGTGAATTGGGTTTGATTCAAAACCAGCCTCAAACTCTTTTAGAAGAGTGAGAGAACTCAGAAACTTAATGTGAGAATGAAGATGTCTGCTAATTTGTGCCAGTCTGTCATTTAAATTTGTTTAAAATACCTTGAATGGTAGCGGTTCCATGCTGGAAGGCTGGGCAGCCATGGGCTAAGCCTGGAGTTCCCCTGGCTCAGGTACTGATGAGACTGCAGTCTCCATCCCGTATGGGGAAGCAATATTTGTCTCATTAGATTTAGGCCTTGTGGCAAATGTCTCAATTAAATTTAGCAGTTTTAAAGACAGTTTACTCATTTTGAACCTTGTTTTAAACAATAGCTATCTGACTTGTAATTTTTAGTGTGCGGAAAACGCCCCAGCAAAACTAAAGCTAATAGATTTTCTTTACCAATCTCCCACCATGCAAGTACATTCACACTTTAAAACACACAATTCTCATATTCTCATAATCTAAAGATAAATAAAAATTAAAAGTATACAAATAAAAGGTAACACTTTGTTTTAAAGGTCTATTTGAGTATTAGTAGACTGTCTGCTTAATATCTGTTGATACTGCGGCTATACAGACATTTAACTGACTATAAGAAACTTAGCAAGTATATGTCAACTTACACTAACCCTAACCCTAACCAAAACCCTAACAGTCTACTTATAATCTAAGGAGAATTAGTTGCAATGTAACCTAAATTTAACAAATAGACCATCAAAATGTGACCCAATGAAAAAGCTAATATTAATACAATTATTTATTATATTTATTTCTATTTTTAAACTAATATCAATGCTAAAAATAATATAATATACAATATGTGTAATATTATTCTACAAAGTGTGCAAAAAGAAAAAAATAGTAAATAGTAAATATGTATTACAATCAATATTAAAATTAATCGTATCACAAAAATAATCTTAAATCATTTCACTTGTTTGAAAATATGGGCATGGTAGTGCCCTTCTGAGCTTCAGTTTAGGTTTTAATTTGTAAATTTAATTTAATTTGTTAAATATTTTATCTCTATTGTATCCAGGGGTGTCACTAAAGAGGGAAAGTTAAGATAATTCTGAGGGCCCATGCTGTTTTGGGGCCCAAGAGTTACTATTAGAGGCCCAATCAAGATGTAAAATGCTGTCTAGATTGTAAATGATTAACTACAAAAACACAAAAGAACTGTACCATGCACATACAATAGTCAGTAAAAGAAACAGTAGTGCATTGTAAAATCTGTGGCTTTAGTATTTAGTAAAAAAAAAAAAAAAAAAAAAAAACAATAATAATAAAATAAAATAAAATAAAATTAAAAAATTAAATTAAATTTTGTTTAATTTAATAAAAAAATATATTAAATCAAATAAAAATGAATAGTCAAGAAAGTCTACATTTTTATTTAAAATCCATATTCAAAGTTTGACACTTGTTGACACTGCCCCCAAGTGGACATTTTAACAAAACTGTGGCATGTCAGATCATCACTAACAAAGAGCCATTTCACCTCCACTGTGAGACAGCAGAATACATAAAGAGATAATGGTAGACTTGACTGATTTGATAAAAATCCCTCATCAGTGAACCAGACAGTGTGTCTGATAAATGAGAAAAGACAACACATTCATGGCATTATCTTTCATCAGTGATGCACACACTGATGCTGAAACACTCTCACACTCTTCTAATCTTCCAGAGGGACACAAAGAAAGGCCTCTCCTAATTTATCTAAACACTGTTCTGAAATCAGTTTGTGAAAGGATGGTGTCTGACATCATGATTTGGGTGAAAAAAATAGGCTGTGCAAACTTTGCCAATAAAAGCTTGATACTGTCTGAGCTCATGCATAGTAGAACAGTGTCATTGAGTGCAAACACAGATGTGCATTTGCGATTAAATTCCCTACCAGTTTTTACATATAAAATGTCTCAAATACCAATGACTGCTCAAATAAAGGAAATAAAACTGAATTTGCAGCAGTACTGTAGATTGATCAGAGTGCTGAATTGTGCAACAACAATCTAAAAACAGAATATTGATTTGAATATTGTCAAAATCTGTCAAATTTACATTTTATGAACAATTTTACATATTTTTTTCTCCTGAAAATGTTTCCTAAATTGAACAATTTCATGAATTATTTACAGACCTATGAATGTTGTAGATTCAGTTCCTATATGTACTGAAATATTGTTTATAGTTGTGTGCAGCTTTACCCACAGGTAGTTTCTGTTTGTCGTAAATGAAGATGCATTTAATCTTTTGCACAATGCTGTAAATATATTAAAATTGCAAAAAGCAAATAAAAATGAGAAGCATACATTTTCTTGTACTCTTGTCTTGTACTCAGATACCTCACTAAATGCAGTGATGTCTAACTTTACTGTAGTTTCCAAATGGCTGTGCAAACAGTATATAGTGCTGTCTTGAGCATTTTCAGAAAGTGATTTTTTGCATTGGAAAAAAAAATTATAGAGTAAATTGTCATAATGAAAACATGACAAAGCCATTTGACTGTTCCTGTTCATAAACAATGGTGTCAGACCTTTTCATCTTGATGACACTGACACTTTCATCGACATCAATACTTGCTTTTGAGGAATGATCTATCCATTTTGAGCAAGTGAGGTTTTTAGGCCTACTAAATGTTTTTTAAAAATGCATTAACTGTTGTGCAAATGTAAATAGTGTTGTGAGAAATGCACCAAAGCAAACGAGAAAAACAGTACATAGTGGTGAGAACATTTTAATCAGAAGAGTTGCCTCACCTTCTCATCCTGCTGGAAAGTGACTTTTTTGGGCTCAGATCGGGTCCGGTTGAGTCTGTGAGTAATTTTGTCCCTCAAAAGAGAAGTATAGCCCAAGTGCTGGTAAATGGGGTTTGTGGTCATCTTAGCGATGTACTCCGCGGCCTTTGTCTCAATGTAGAGAGTGATGAGACCATCCGTAACCAGATCATGAACCGATTCAAAACGTTTTTCTCCCACAAAGTGCTTTCCATCATAGAAGAGTCGGTAGTTGAGAGTTTGGCCTCCAAATCTAAGTGAAACAAATATTATATATTATCTTATTGAAAAAATTTTGTACAACAAAATTATACATTTATTTTTTATAATTGTTTAATATAATATAATATAATATAATATAATATAATATAATATAATATAATATAATATAATATAATATAATATAATATAATATAATATAATTTTTTAGATGAATGGATAAATGGAAAGATCAATAAAGACAATTATTAACAATTATTAAATATGAATATATTACTTGATGCTAAATATTTGTATATATTATTATACAGTTTACTAATATGAAATATTTATCAATTAGAAAATATATGTTACACTTACAGAAGATAGATAGATAGATAGACAGACAGACAGACAGACAGACAGACAGACAGACAGACAGACAGACAGACAGACAGACAGACAGACAGACAGACAGACAGACAGACAGACAGACAGACAGACAGACAGACAGACAGATAGATAGATAGATAGATAGATAGATAGATAGATAGATAGATAGATAGATAGATAGATAGATAGATAGATAGATAGATAGATAGATAGATACACAGACGGACAGGCAGACGGACGGACAGATGGACAAACAGACAGATAGATAGATAGAAAGAGTTTGATGGATGGATCAATGTATGTACAGTATGTACATGGAAAAGCGAAGAAGGATGAACTGTGTGTACCTCAAAGCAAGTGTGTATGTTCCTGGCTGTCTCTGACTCTCTCTGATGAGATAAGCACCTTCTGTCCCCGCCAGAAGTTCATCTGCTTGCTCTCTGGAAATCAGACCGTGGAACCTGTACAAAGACACCCTGATTTAACTTCACGTAAAATTTTGCTCACACAAGCACACACACAGCGAGAATTTCTTGTAGCTTTCATATTCATATGCACAGCAACTCTCGCTCAATTGACGCAACATAAATCACTGTCCTTTTCTATCTCCCTCATACGTGCTCCTTCATATTATCACCCACGCTCACATCACTGCACAAAATCAATGTGTACAACCTTTCATAACACTCTTAAATGAAACTCCTGCAAACTCAGCAGAATTCACATGCATTGTGGAAGAAAACTGATGAATTCTGTCATTATTTTCTCATCTTTTACTTGTTCCAAATCTTTATGAATTTCTTTCTTCTGTTGGCTGCAAAATAATTTAAAAAAAAGCTGGAAACCTGTAACCATTGACTTCCATAGTATTTGCTTTCCCTACCATGGAAGTGGATGGTTACAGGGTTACAGCTTGCTTTAAAATATTGTCTTTTGTGTTCAACTGATGAAAGAAACTCTTACAGCAGGGGTGTCAAACTCAATTCCTGGAGGGCCGAAGCCCTGCACAGTTTAGTTTCAACCCTGCTCCAACACACTTACCTGTGTGTCAAACAAGCCTGAAGGACTCAATTACTTTGATCAGGTGTGTTTAATTAGAGTTGGAACTAAACTGTGCAGAGCTGTGGCCCTTTTGGAACTGAGTTTGACACCTGTGTCTTACAGCTTTGGAGCCACCTAATGCCTGATTCAAACGGGGCTTCAATGTCAACGCTTGGCCCTCTGAAGGGCCTCTGAAGTTGGGGCTGATGCGATTGTCATTGCAATGTCAGCCAATGAAATTAGTTCGCAATCAATACTGTCTGAGCTGGAGTATTTGCATACAGCAATCTGATTGGCTGGCGCTCCCGTTGGCGCTTAAAAAGTTACAACAAGATGTCCTCACTGCTGCCTGCAGCTTGATGATATAGGCAATCATCAACTATGTAGTGGACCTTGTAGCACCCACTAGGGTAACTCCTATGATGGTTGGGTTTAGGGTAGGAAAAGGAGTAGGCAATCGTCAACTACGTAGTGGAACTTTAGATTAGATTAGATTCAACTTTATTGTTGACTTCATTATTACAAATACAATGCAACAAAATGCAGTTTACGTCTAACCAGCAGTGCAATGCAGTGATTCAGGCTCAACGGCCAAGGATCTGTTAAGGAGCAGATTATTGTCGGTGCACCAAGTGGCCAGATGCTATGTCTCCTCCCTGTAGGCAGTCTCATCATTGTTGCTGATTAGACCAATCACTGTTGTTTCATCTGCAAATTTGATGATGGTGTTGGATCTGTTCACAGGCCTTCAGTCGATGGTAAAAAGGGAGTAGAGGAACGGTACCACCCACTAAGGTAACGCCCATGCTACTGTGATGGTTAGGTTTAGGGTAGGGGGAGGTGGAGGCAAACACCTACTACGTAGTGGATCTTGTCCTGCCCACTAAGGTAACGTCCATGCTACTGTGATGGTTGGGTTTAGGTTAGGGGGAGGTGTAGGCGATAGTCGACTATATAGTAGAACTTGTACCACTCACTAAGGAAACACCCATGCTACTGCAATGGTTGGGTTTAGGGTAGAGGGATGTGTAGGTGATCGTCAACTACATAATGGACCTTGTACCGCCCACTAAGGTAGCGCCCATGCTACTGTCACGGTTGGGTTTAGGTTAGTGGGAGGTGTAGGCAATCATCAACTTTGCAGTGGAACTTGTACCGCCCACTAAGGTAATGGCCATGCTACTGTGTTTATTGGGTTTACGATAGAGGGAGGTGTAGGTGATTGTCAGCTACGTAGTGGACCTGGTGAACTGAGCAAGCAAGAATTGTCTCAGCACTGACTCACAATTCAGTTCAGCAATTCTTGACATCACTCATTCAAAGTGATGGGAAGCATTTTTTTAAAACATTTCTAATCATAATAGTTTTAAAAATTCATGTCTAATAACTAATTTATTTTATCTTTGCCATGATGACAGTAAATAATATTTGACTAGATATTTTTCAAGACACTTCTATACAGCTTAAATTGAAATTTAACAGCGTATCTAGGTTAATGAGGTTAACTAGGCAGGTTAGGGTAATTAGGCAAGTTATTGTATAATGACGTTTTTTTTGGTAGATAGTCGAAAAAAAATGTCATTAAAGGGGCTAATAATTTTGTCCATAAAATGGTGTTTAAAAATGACAAACTGCTTTGATTCTACCGAAAATAAAACAAATAAGACTTTCACCAGAATAAAAATTTTTATCAGACAGACTGTCAAAATTTCTTTGCTCTGTTAAACATCATTTGAGAAATATTAAAAAAAAAATAATAATTCAAAGGGGGGCTAATAATTCTGACTTTAACTATATATTGCGATATGAATACAATTTCACCATATGACCAAATAGCTCTATTTGGAAATATTGATAATGTTTGATCGATTGAGATGATTCTGCAGCAGAGTGCATCTCTATAAAATCTAAATAAACAGTCTATAAACTTTTTGGGGTCCCTCGACACATTTTTGTCATGGTCTGTGCTACTTGCAAAGCATTACTTTATTTGCATATGTTGTGAGTAATTCCATGCACTAGTTTAATTAGAGATTGATGAATCATGTTTATTATTTGCATTTGCGGGCGATGCAGTGGCGCAGTAGGTAGTGCTGACGCCTCACAGCAAGAAGGTTGCTGGGTCACTGGTAAGAGCCTTGGCTCAGTTGGCGTTTCTGTGTGGAGTTTGCATGTTCTCCCTGCGTTTCGTGGGTTTCCTCCGGGTGCTCTGGTTTCCCCCACAGTCCAAAGACATGCGGTACAGGTGAATTGGGTAGGCTAAATTGTCTGTAGTGTATGAATGTGTGTGTGTGTGTGTGTGGTTTGTGTGTGAATGAGTGTGTGTGGATGTTTCCCAGAGATGGGTTGTGGCTGGAAGGATATGCGCTGCATAGATAAGTTGCCGGTACATTCAACCATGGCGACCCCGGAATAATAAAGGGACTAAGCCGACAAGAAAATGAATGAATGAATGAATGTATTTGCATTTGCATTTAATCCAATAAACAATCTATATTTTTTTGGGGGGTACCCCAACACATTTTCATTGTGGTCTGTGTTATTTTTAGTGCATTTCTGTATTTGCATGTGTTGTGAGTATTTTTATGCATAACTACCTTTAAATACAATCATGAAAAAGATACAATTGAAATTTGTATAATTGAAAGTGTTTTATCGTTTCCTTAGTCTAACAGTGTTCAAGTACAGTAACTGAATGATAAAAAATAAAAATAACTCAATGAAGTTAATCATAGTTAAGGTCACAAATGGTACAATTTCTTATACATGAATGCTTTTAAAATCATTATACAATCAAAGGCATCAAAAACACGTACAAATGATAAATTGTGATACAAAATTAATATTGCATATATTCTGCGATGTGTCTGCAAATGATCGCATTGCAATATCGATGAGGAAACAATATATTGCGCAGCCCTAAATCACATGGAATCACATTTAACTAATGAACCAATCACATGTAACATTTTAGGAATGTATACGTGGTCAAGATTATCAGCTTCAATTTAACTAGATGAATTATCTAGCCACAACATAGAATCTGAGCTCAAAGAAATCTGCAGATTTTCTACACAACTTGCTTTGTTTATCGAACAACTGGATCTAATTGGATTTGGACTGCAAACCTTAAACATGCAGTAGGTGATTGTCTTTAGAAACATTTTTTTGTTCTGCACGTTAAAAGTCTTTTCACATTCCAACATTGAAGATTAAAGTAAAGGATTTAAATGTATTATTACATATTTTTATATTCTGGGTAAGGCATAAGACTAAAGAATGTTCGTCATATTTAACATTTGTCAGACCAACAAATAACTCAATAATGGCAGCAGACAGATAGTTCTTTGTGCATACATGTGAAGCATGGCCACCTACAGGTGACAGAGAGATGTCAGGCAAACACATTACCCTGAAAGACTTTGTTACAATCAATCTGCGATCTAATCATTACAGATCACTTGTAAACTGACAGATCACATAGAACTACAAATCTGTCGTTATATGGACTACAAGATCCAATCATGCAACACACACACCAGCTCCAAGTCTCCATTGATTAAACTCACACAGCTGATGCTGCTCATGGACTGATTACACTACACATATATGCGGCTCACATTAAGACACTTATTGCTGAGTCTTATTATACTGATTGTGAACATTGCGATGTAGTTTCCTTGCCTTGCCTTCTGTTTAAACCTCACCTTATTTGTTTGCTTACGTTGTCTGCTGCCTGCCTGTACTGACCAGTTGCCTGTTTATCGACCATGACTGATGATCTGACCATTTTCTGAATAATAAACCCTGCATTCCAACGTGGCCTTGTATCCATGAAAAAAAGATGGTTTTAGAAAGGGCTTCTGACAAAAAAATGCAGAATCAAAACTTTTCTAAACCCCCAATTAATATTGGAATTACTTTGTACACTGGAGGGCAATGACGTTATGCACTTCAAAACAACAATGTGAAGGAGAACATTAAGTCACGCAAATGTATGTAGATTGTGTTCTGAATAGGCTTATATTGCCGGAAGCATTGTTCAGCTACTGAAATGTCCGGCGAAAGATATTTTTAAGTTCATGGAGTACCTTTTACAGCATGGATAATATATTCGGTTAAATAGACATATGTATTTGTTTAGTTGTTCAAGTGTAAAAGTAGACGAAAACAAGCAATGTACGAGGATCAGCGAGCACAATTGAAAATGAAAAGTGACTTGTTTTGGTAACTTAAGTGTAATATTACACAATGACAGGGTGTTTCTGTTTTTAGCACTCCTTTTTTTCTGATCTGATTTTTCTTAAGTTCAATAACAAAACATAAGTAAATAGCGCTCTTCCGCCTAACCAACTTAACTAAGTTGAAGTTTAATTCATAATCGTACATTTGTTCATTTTTGAACAATGACTTGTGACATGCTCCCACTCTAACGTTACTTTGAATATTGGGTCTGAAATAGCATGTAGAAATGACTTTAAAACAATATTAGCACTGTTTCACTGACTGTGAACAATGCTGTATTTTTTTTGTCATTGGCTGATTATATGATTTCACTATTTTGAATTTGCAAACAATCCTTTTCTGTAATTATATAATTGAGGAGAAAGTTTGAATGTGTGAATATAAAACCAACTTTACCCCAATGCCAGTTTTGGGGAAATATAATTCCTGCAACCGCTGGCCTGTCAACAACTATGCTGGACAAAGTGCGTGTCAAAACATAATCTAGTGTTGTATTTATTTGGTATGCGTTTGCGCGTTCATGACTTGAAAGGTATCTAGATTACCCCTTTATTTAGATTTATTATGAGTCTTTTGTGTCTCCAGAATGTGTCTGTAAGATTTCAGCTCAAAATACCCATCAGATTTTTATTATACCTTTTATAAGTTTCTATTTGTTTCTGTTTTGTTTTGTTTTATTTACTGTTTTGTTTTGTTTTGTTTACTGCGCTTTTAAGGCTAGTCCTCCCCGCCCACCGTTTCTACGTGCCTTTCTGTGTGCCTTAATCTCCTCTATCGGCTGACTCAGACAACAGACAGACATAAAGGAAGAATATCTCATGTAGCGTTTGTAACAAATACCAGTGAGTATTTGAGGCATTTGTTTAGCAACGATGAGTAACACACAATGTCGTTACAAAGTTCACACACATACACAGCGCAGACACACATAAACACACACACACACACACACACACACACGACAGCGTGTGCGTTTAGCTTTGCACTCTTTTTGCACACAAATGTGACAGCATCCAGGTTAATATCCACTGCCTACTATTCATTACAAGCATGCACAGTTTTAAAACATTTTAAACTTGTAAAACTCACTCTTGATCACATGAATGATGATCCTGGCAATCTGAACAGACCTTTTATTCCTGGTAGCTTTGCGCACATCCTGTCTTGTAGATATGATTATACACGTGACTACCAGGACATGTTAATATGCAGCGGTCAATCAATTAGGTGGGCAGGGGGTCCGCACTCCTACGTAAGTTGTGGTCGGTCTGAAAACCGCTCCAATTGGTCCATCATTTTTATGTTTTTAAATTGAAAAAAAGGACTGGGTGTGTTTATTTCACCCTAATATGATGGTCTATAAAGTATATCTACACATATGTCTGTCCAGATAGCTTGAAAAGATTTTTCACCTTAGGTGCCCTTTAAGGGGGCATGGTTTAATATCGGAATATTGAAAAGCAGAATCTGTCTGGTCCTATTAATGAACTAAAGAATGTGAAAACTTATCCAGTAAAGCGTTTTCATAAAATGGTGATGAGAAATATTTCAACGGTTCATTTATAAAGCTATATGTTGTATTATATCATCTTTGCATCAAAAATAAAAAGTTAATGCTCATGCGAGGTGTTTCTAATGCTAAGTCTATGGACGGGACAGTAAATTTGACGTTTCTCTCCCTTTGTACATTTTTAAAGCCATGAAAACACTATTGTGAAGTTTTTCTTTTGTTATCTGAGTAAATTGGAATGCATAAAAGAACACTTGTGGAACTCTCCCATTCAATGACCATAAATTTACCTGCTTCTGAGAAACACGAAAATGTAAAAAAAGAGTTTATTGACTTTGAATGCAAGGAATAAAATGTCAATGTGTATTTCAGATATTGCTGATCTACTAAAATTTTCAAGGACAACTATCTTTAGGGTTTACAGAAAACGGCCTAAACGAGAAAAAATTAAAGTGAAAGGCAGTTTCTGTGGGTGGAAATCTCATAGTAGAGGTCAGAGGAGAATGAGCAGTGAGTTTGAAACGCAACAATAACTCAAACAGACACTTGCTACTGTCGTGGCAAATTATGGTTCTGGGTGCCAAAGACTTTAATGCTGCAGCAAGATATGAGACATCAGCTAGAGTCCTCTCGAGTCTGCCTTCTGCTCTCAAATCAAGTTACTTTAACCATTTTCTGTTCATATCAGCTGATGTTCTAACATTATTTCCTAACCTGTTTTTGTAGGAAATTTCTCCCTGCAGTGTTTTTGTTGTTCAACAATCATATGCTTATATGTTTACTTGTATCATATGATGTTCTTTCAATGTTTAATAACAGTTTTGTCATTGTTACTGTGTTGTTTTTTTTACCTTCTTAGCAACAGAACTAGCATCATCTGACTCAATGTATTTAAATGTATATAACCAACTGCATATGAACGACCAAGTGTACAGTTTAAGTCAGAATTATTAGCCCCCTTGTTTCTTTTTCCCCCAATTTCTGTTTAAGAGAGATTTTTTTTTCAACATATTTCTAAGCATAATAGTTTTAATAACTCATGTCTAATAAGTGATTTATTTTATCTTTGCCATGATGACAATAAATCGTATTTTACAAGATATTTTTTAAAACACTTCTGTACGGCTTAAAGTGACATTTAAAGGCTAGGTTAATTAGGTTAACTAGGCAGGTTAGCTTAAAGGGGCTAACAATTTTGACAAAAAAATGTTTTGTTTTTTTTTTGTAATTAAAAATTGCTTTTATTCTAGCCAAAATAAAACAAATAAGACTTTCTCCAGAAGAAAAAATATTATCAGACATACTGTGTAAATTTCCTTGCTCTGTTAAACATCATTTGGGAAATATTTAAAAAAGAAAAAAAATATTTCAGACTTCAAGTGTATGTGATAGAGAAACAACTTATACTGTATGTGGTAAAAGGTTATAAAAATACATACGTTTATACTTACACTGAGTACTATAAAAATAATAAAATAGAAATTATATCAACCAAGGTTTGAGGTATATTTGAACACACATATATGGTGGCCAAGAAGGTTCAAACCCAATAAGCTAAGAAAACAAATACATACAAATTCAGGAAACATCATCGATTTGACAACATATACAAATTTTCACAACACATGCAAACACAAAAACATGCTGCAAATAGTGCAGACCACAACAGAAATGTGTCAAGGTACCCCTAAAAGTGACAAACTGCTTCCTGTTTAGAGTCAGTGGTGTTGTTGGCAGACATCCCACCTCTCCCGGAAGCTCTGGGAGACTCCTGTATATTGATAGTAACTCCCTGAACAGGATGTAGGGTTTGGATATCTGTATATCTGGTATAGCACGGTATTCAAGAGTTCATACTTAGCTGATGATTGGTTATAAGCTTGTTTGGCATGTTTTTCGGGTGGTGAGATGGAAGATTGAGCTCAGGTAGATCTCAAGAAACCCGCTGATTTGTGGCTAATAACAAAATGCTTTATGAGGAAAAATACTGTTGGCTAGGAACTTGACTATGGTGCCAATTTGGTTTGGTCAGTTTACTTATGACGCATGTCTTTGGATGGTGGGAGGAAACCCAGGAATCCATGAGTACGCGGGGAGAACATACAAAATCCGCACAGAAATGCCAACCAGTCTGGCAAGGGCCACAACCAGTGACCTTCTTGCTGTGAGGCAACAGTGCTAACCACTAAGCCACCATGCTGCCCAATCTGAGAAAAAAAAAGGGAAGGAATAGGAGAGGATGGGGAGACTCTTTAAGATGAAGATGGTGACTTTGAATTAACTCATTGGAGAATCGTGTATTAGCTAATGCAGGTCCAGTCATGATCAATCATAAGCACATGATCCCCTCAAAATTTGTTTATAAATAAACTTCTCAACGTTAATTTTGCAACAAGTCAGATTACTAGGGCTAAAAATGTAATTAATTCAAGCCCATAGCCAGCCTGTTGAAAGGGGTGGTTCTTCTTTCTGAAAAGGAAGACCATTTTTGCAGTTATTCGCCTCATCCGAGGTTTAAATTCTGCATTTTGGTGGCATTCTAATTTTTACTGCTCGATCAGCTTGTCGAATGGTAATCATAACCACACTTTATGATGTACTAAAATATGTGTTTACCATACTATCTTATAATGAAGTATTTGTGTACAAATCTGAATCTTAACTAAATTATTACACTTTTAGATATAATGTTATTAGATAAGCATTTTAAATAAAATATTATTAATAAACAAATGAAAAAAGACAAATTTTTAAATACAAATTTATTATCATCCATCATGTAAGAAACAAAAAGTAAAGGGAAAACTTGTTTTAAACTAAACCTGTAGCCTATAGGCAAATAAAAAAAACCCTGTCCATTTCATTCAACTTTACTCAGAATTTTACCACTTAAATAATTAAAAACTGAATTTGTCTTAAAGCCTTCGTCTATCTGTAATTTTCAGAATTTATGATGGCATAGCAGTCACAAATGGGACAAACAGGCACATGTAAAAGCAAAATCCTGGACTTTGTCAGTGGCGGGTGGATCTTTCTAACCCCCTTGGCTACAGCCCTGTAATTACCAATTGTGAACCAACCTTGTGAAGTCTACACACCATATCATAAATCATTTCAAACTTGTCTTGAACCTGGTTGTAAGATCTTACTCCAATAGAACACTTTTGGGATGTGGAAAATAATCCTTGTTTATTCTCTTCCATGAGAAATAAAGGCATGTTTTCAAAAGGGATCCAACCCAGTATTAAGGTGTACTTAAAAAGTGGCCACTGAGTGTAGAAATCATATATAGAATTAAGAGAATTAATACTTGTGTTTTGCATTCAAAATGCCAATAGTAGATTTAGATACTCACTCTCTACCATAGTATTTCGGTCTGCTTTCCATCTGTAAGGGAAAGAAGAGAAAAGAGAGATGAATATACGAGAAATACAAAACAAAACAAACTTCATCTGTTCAACTGTTCATATGTTGGGTTTTCTAACAAGATGAGCATTTTGTGAACATGGAGGAAGCATAAACATCTGCTTCGGTGTTTGTTAAAGAAACACTCAGTCGATATAACTTAAGTTTGATAAAACGTGGAAGGGTTTACACACATTTTGCAGGACTTACCTCCTGAGGACATGTGATCCTCTTTGGTCTCGGTGCTTCCTGCTGTAGCTGGTACACTGGTGAACAAAAATAATAGTTTTACTATTTATACCTCGTTTTGATTATGATTTTCCTATACTAACATCTAGACAATAGTCTGATTATCTACATCCAAAAAAAGACATTTTTGATTACCTTGATTTGATTATCTTAGGTCAAACTCAAAATTAAAAAATCTAATTAAAGGTGCAGTAGGTGATCTTCCACACAGAATCACAGTCCCTCCCCTGCCGGTCGGTGGAGCTGCGTACAAAAGGCTCCGCAGTTGTTCAAATCTGGCCTAGATCCCCATGATTGCAGACAGACACAACTGAAGCTACTCATGAACTGATTACTAGGACTATTTATACAGCACACACACTCGCGCACACACCCACACACACTTCAGTGCTGAGTCTTGTTAAACTGTATAGTGAACATTACAGCATGTTTTTCCTTGCCTTGCCTGTGTTTTAACCTTGCTTTGTTTTGTTTATTTATTTCTGTCTGCTGCCTGCCTTTTTGACCACTTGCCTGATATTTGACCCGTTCACATTACAATTACAACTTTTTCACTGACTTGTCACTGAATTTTGTGACATGATACACACACAAACACACACACATCAGTGGTCATAACTTTTATTGGCCTGTATCAGCCATAGTTTGTTTGTTAACAAATAAATACATGCACATGAAGCTTTTGTAGAATTAAAAATGAAACAGTATATGGTAGACAAACCACATACTGTGTGCTGATTTGTGAAATTCAGCAGGGTACATTGATGACATAAATGATTATGTGTTCCATTAATCCATTAACACTATATCGACAATGGCTGTTTCTCAATTACTAGAATGCAGAAAATGGACTTGTGTTCTTGTGAAGACCGTTGGTCACCCCAGAATAACGAACTCGGGAGATCACGAGAACACAAAAAGTCTCCTGTGAAAAATGAGAAGCCGCATTCTTCCTGATGGTCACATGTCCTTCACGCATTTTTAACAAGAAATTTTATAAATATTACAGTACATAAACATGATTTATTGTTTTTCCCCTTTTCACAACATATACTATGCATAAAGACTTTACTAATATATGTTGCACAAAACAAATAAAACAGATTTCAAAGTAGATTCAGCAAATAAACACCCTTAATGAGTTTATTCCTTTATTAAGATTTTCATGTTAATGTTTATGTTTTTTTGCCGTCTCATTTGGGAACCCTCTGAGACTAGTTATCTTTCTGAACTTTAACAATGGCGATGCGGTGGCGCAGTAGGTAGTGCTGTCGCCTCACAGCAAAGAGGTTGCTGGGATGAGCCACGGCTGGGTCAGTAGGCATTTCTGTGTGGAGTTTGCATGTTCTCCCTGCTTTCGCGTGGGTTTCCTCTGGGTGCTCCGGTTTCCCCTACAGTCTAAAGACATGCATAAAGGTGAATTGGGCAAGCTAAAATTGTCTGTAGTGTATCTGTGTGAATGAGAGTGCATAAGTGTTTTCCAGTGATGGGTTGCAACTGGAAGGGCAAAAAAATGTGCTTGATAAGTTGCCCGTTCATTCCACTGTGGCAACCCCAGATTAAGACAAAGCTGAATAGAAAATGAATGAATAAATAAACTTTAATGATAAATCTATATGAAATACTGCACTTCCCACCTCTAGTCACAATGACTTCTGGGACTTCTGATAAGTTCGGTGCTCAAGTCTGCATCGGTGCATCCTCGATATTAAGACCTTAGGTGTGTAAAATCAAGCACAGACATGCAGACTGCTTCTATAAACATATATGAAAGAATGTCTCTATGCACATCATGATTTTGCTAAGTGTGATGTGATTATGGATTAACATCTACAGTATGTTGATCCTGCAACATCATTTTTGTTTGAAAATGTAATCTATACCTATTCCCTACCCTGAATTCCTACTATAACTGGAAATTATTCCCAAAATCAGAGGAAATAATAGTTGGAAAACAATCATGTAGTAGTGTATATACCCAGCTGTAACCCTAAACTTATTATAAATGATAAACGGTAACCTTAATTCTGATTTTTACATAGATGTTGATCCAGGAACAAGCCCTACTTGTGTCAGAATGGTCTTGGTAATTCTTATTTTGGTGGCAGACAGAGATGGGAAGTAACAAAGTACAAATACTTCATTACTGTACTTAAGTAGATTTTTCTGCTTTACTCCACTGTTTATTTTCTGACAACTTTTTACTTCCTACACCTTTTACGCAAATATCGGTACTTTCTACTCCTTACATTTTTAAATCAGGCTTGTTACTTCAATTTTCACGTGTTTGGTGGCGGGATCTATTATTTCTTGGCATTGTGCAATTTGAGCGCCTTTTTGATGCAATCAGTGTATTTTTGTCATGGCGCGCCTGCACTGCATGGCATTTTTTTAACCAAGGCTATCATGCACTGTACATGGGATAGTTTGAAGATTACTATGAGAAAGGCAAGGATGACTACGCAGATGAGACAGAGAGACGACGATGAGGTTAACATGACTGATGCTGCCCTGTTTACATGGTGATAAGACACCATTTGCTTGATCTGATCACAGGTAAATGAGAGAAAATTCCAGTTCAAAAATATAAATGCTTAAAGTTGGGAGTTTTTTTGTCCACTTCCGATCATGCTGCACAGAATTTCTCTGGTCTTTCAATCTACTACCGCAAAAAAAAGTGTTTTTTTTTTTGTTGTTTTTTTTCTGTAAAGTTTTGTACATTCAGTTCAAAAACAATCCAATACTCTATAAAAACTATATGCATTGAGATTTATTTTCTTTATTACCAATGAGTTCATATTTCCCATTTGAGTAGTGATGGGACGTTCAAATTATTTTACTGACTCAAATCTTTGAGTCTCACTTTTTTCGAGATGAATAAATCTATTTTCGAGTAATTTCCTTCAATTTGTTCAAATACCATAAAATTTGTTATATTGTTGCCAAAATAACATTGAAATGTTAAGAAATGCTTCTAAACACATCTAAAACTAACCCAAACTACAAATAAGAACACTATTATGCAATGCAATGCTACTAAAATAGAATAAATAATCGTTTACCTGGTGTTTGTCTATAATTAGCTCTGGTCACCTCTTCTTGCATGTCTTCAAATTTGAGTCGTTCATTACTGATACTGACCTATATAAGCTTGACCAATGCATACAGTCTGAACTGGAAACACCGGTGATTGGTTTACTTTTTGAGTCTTCGGGTTCTTGAGCTGTTCGTGACAACATGTAAAGAGATGACTAAGAGTGCTTTTACTTTTTTTGTTGTCAGAGTACAATTCTGAAATCGAGTGTGCACCCACGAACCGTACCTGAGTCCATCTGAAAAAAGGTGGTTTGGGGTATAGTTCATGCAAACTCTGGTCCGATTCACTTCTGGTATGAATGCAAACCAATTGTCAAATTGTCCAAATAACAGAAGTGAACCACCACCAGTACAACAATCTATCATTTTCATAATGTTAATTTGTGTGTGTTTGTGTGTCTGTGTATCACATACTGTACCTTGGAAACAAGCGGGATTGAGCCAGGACAAGTACAGGGATAATGTCTGCTTATCTAAATAAAAAATAATATTTTTTTGCGGCAGATGTGTCTAAAACCAAAAGATTTATTAAAAGCAGAACAACTGCGATTTGCGGGCGTCTTTCCATTTTGGTGCTTTGCTTTTGTGTTCGTCACCTAGCAACAGCTGTTAACACAACAGCGGCTCGATGACACAAGCGTACCGGTTGTTAAGAAGGAGAAAAGCTAGTGTGAACACAAACCAACCAAGAAGATGGCAAGGTACAATCAAACTTGTGTACAGTCCAGGCAACTGAACCAAGTGTGAAAGCACCCTTAAAACCGAAGACTCAAGAAATGAACGGAACAAATCTTTTTTCGGCTCTAAATGCATATAATTGGCTTATATATATATATATATATATATATATATATATATATATATATATATATATATATATATATATATATATATATATATATATATATATATAAAACGGATAACGGATCTGGGACAGAGGAACTATAGTTTTGCGGAACACTCATCACTATATTGTTCTTTTCCCTAACAATGCATCGTACTATGATAGTTCAGCCATGAGTTATGTCATTGTTTGGGAAATGCACGCCAGATTAGCTTAAGAACAGAGAGCTTCATAGAATAGGTTTTCATAGTCAAGCTCCATCCAAGCTGTACATCACCAAGTGCAATACAAAGAATCAGATGCAGTGGTGTGAAGCAGTTTCTCAACCACAATCCTGCATCAGGACCACCAGCTCTGAATATGTAGAAAAGAGACATTCAAAACATGCAGTGCTGGTGGTCCTCAAGGAATATGGTTGAGAAACATTGGTGTAAAGCATGCTGTCACTGGACTCTAGAGCAGTGGGGATCATACCTGTCAAAATTGGGATGTGAAAATAAGAGATTTGCCCACCATAATAACATCATGTAAACACTATAATCATAATATTATCATATTCACAATCAAGTAAATTATAAGATTACTAATGTCCATGCAAGCATATCCATTGATATCAGCTCTTTTATTGTGAAGAGCAACTTAACAGTAGAAATTCTGTTTATTGTACCTCTAATCTTTATAACGCTCTGGTAAAATGCTGGTATATTTAGAGCATGTCAAAACACAGCAGTCTCTGTTAGACATTAATCCATTAGGTCTGGGCTGCAGGACACGCACCCACTATCACTGCTGTCAAACCCAAGCTACAACGCACTACACAAGTGGATTGGCTAATATTGGTAAAGCTATTGAAAAATGAACACTGCAAGATCCTAACAAATAAATCAACACCAACAGTAGATCGATATGGGGAAGAGTGCATGAAGGGCTAGAAATTCAGCTCAAGGGGCTTTAAGCTCGCATGTTTTGATAGTGCCTATTTGTTTGAAAAAGTAGTTCAGAGAATATGGAGGTTAATACCAGGAATTCCTCAGGTTATCCTCTCCTAAATAATAAGCTTGCACAGGCAAGGTCAGT